CACTGGTCCTCCATGCAGGCCCTGTGGTCATGTGTTTCTGCCATGGAGCCTGCCAGCCGTGACTGAGCCCTGAACGAAGGTAAACCTCTTCTTTCAGTTGTGGGTGTCCAGTACTGTGTCTTCAGTGACAGCAAGTAACCAGAACACTCACCAAGAGTCAGCTTTTGGTTTAACATAAGTCAAATCAACTCATACTTAATGGTACAGCTCCACTGCTGCAGCACTGTGGGGTGCTGAGATGTGAGAAAGAGTTTTTCACCATTGAAACCTGATAGATTTTATCAACAGCAGTGATGGGGGCCAGTGGCAGCAGCAGAGAAGCAGAAATGTGGGGGAGCTTTTATTAACTCTGAAGACACAGAGAGGATTAGGGCTGGTTAGATGGGCAGATCCTCTGACCTGAGACAGGGAGGATGAGACTTTGTGGATTTTGCTAGGGGTGGAGTATGAGGGGCAGGTTTAGTGACACACAAGGAGCTGACTGGAGGCTCCCTTGTGTGGGCGGGAAAGGTAAAAGGAAGTTGTATCCAGGGCTGGAGTGGGAAGAAGGAGGAAGGGGTCATTGGGAAGGGAAGGTGTTGTTTGGGGGATTCAGCTATGTTGGATCAGGGACATGATAATTTAGCAGTCTGTATTTGGGCCATAACTTACCAAATAGCTGTTCAGGGTTAAGGAGCCTTCTTCTTCAGAGGTCTACATGCAGAGGAAGGACATCCATCCTTCACCTTTCCTGAGTATGACCCCTCACACAGGCATATCCCTTAATTCAGAAAAGAGAGTACTTGCTTTGGTTCTGAAAGAGAAGACTTCTGGTGATTCTCAAGACGAGGTGAGAAATAAGGTTTGACATGGAGGAGGATGAAAGTCTGAACAAAGACAGAAGCAGATGCAGAACAAAGTACAATGAAAACTTACTGCAGAAGTTCTGCAACTCGTGACTTGGGGAAAGCTGCTTGATTTTAGGGTTTGATCTGAGTTTTCATTTGAAGCTTCCAGGACAGAGAACAAAGCTATACCTAAGAAGGCCTCGTGGAAGAGGCGTGACTCGATCTAACTGTTGGAACAAAGGAAAGATTTGATTTTGTGGAGGAGAGTTACTGTGCTGTGAATGAGCATGGCTTTTCCCAAGGGCAAATAGAAGACTGAATCCAATATGCATATCTTGTAATAAAGAGAAATAAAGATTGGATACATAAAGAAACTGGATCTAAGCTGAAGAATGCAAGTTTTAAAAGATAAAATAGCATCACTAAAGAATGTTAAGCCAGGGATAATGAAAGCCATATTTTATAAGAAAATTAATTGGTTTATATTATAAGGATTGATTTGAAGGAGAAAGACAGACTGTTTTAGAAATTAGAAAGTGCTCATAAGTGTGGCAATAAGAACCAGAAAATGAGTTGTTGGATGGGGCATGGTGGTGGGCCTGAGAGGGCCGCGCTCTGGTGAGTACAAGAGAGATCGCGAAAGAACAAGGCACAGAATGTAGAGATGTAAAGGTGACAGAGGAGACCCAGAAAGAAGAGTTAAAAGAGTTAAGTTAAAGCTGATTTAAAAGTTTCCATTCTGGCAAGTGACGAGATGGAAATACACCAACAAGAGGGAGACACTGAGGGGCTGATAATGATGAGCAACTGGCAAGGAGGGGCACCCAGTAAGAGGGTGGCACATAGGTCTGGACTCTGGGCTGAAGGAGGAGGAAGGACAATCAGGAAGGTGTTGCCAGAAAGAAGGAATGGGAAACAATGCCAGATTGGAGGAGAGTCACAGGGCAGACACGGAAAGGAAACAGGAGGTTTCAGTGAGAGAATGGAGGCACAAGAGAGGGTCAAAAAATAGAGAGGGCAACACGGTGACAAATTCAAGGTCTCGATGTAGGTCACTTGTTGAACTTGGTTTCCATTACAAGCTAAATGTAAAAGGCTCTTTTCATAGAAAGATTCTATGCTTTTTTCCACCCACTTAATTTTATTTTTTAAATTTTTATTTATTTATTTGTGTGTGTGTGTGTGTGTGTGTGTGGCCAGCTCAGCCCACCAGGGGGTGGGGCTGGCTGGCATGTGGTGCTGGGGGATTGAACTGTGGTCCCTGTGCTTTGCTAAGCTTGTTCTAAGTAGGTGCTTTAGACCACTGAGCCATCTCACCAGCCCCACTTAATTTTATTTGTGAGACAGGGTTTCACTAAGTTGTCCAGGCTGGTCTTGAACTCATGAGCCTCCTGCCTCAGCCTCCCATGTACTGAGATTGCAGCCATGTGCTCCCGTACCCTTATTGTTCCATACTTCCTTAAAGAAGTCAGGTTGTTTTGGTGGGGTTATACATACAAGAGCAATGTTCCTTGGGAACTAAGTGGGTTCTTCAGCTTGGTGTTCAGAACTTTATTAATTTATTAGCAAAAATTTGCCTAAAAAAAGTTAAACCCTTATGTTTGAAGGTGTAATAACTGATCACTAACTTGCTTAGCTACACAATATCTTCCTTTTCATTCACTAAAGAATAAAGATTGTGTAGTCTAAATTTGTGTATGTGTATATGCATGTGTGTATGTATTATGTATTATGTATGTGTGTGTGCCTATGTGTGTGTGGTACTGGGGATTAAATCTGGGCCTTCACATTGAACTGTAGGTCATTTATTTGCTCAAGTTGGGCTCAAAATTCGGATCCCTTTGCACACCCAGCTCTGTAATCTGAGTTTTAAAATTACTGGGTGGTCTGCAAGTTCCTATTGTACTTTGATTTTATTTGTTAGCCATAATGTGCTGAGATCGTTCTATCTGCAGTGTTTTTCTTCAACCAACCATCAGTGGCAGTCTGTGTAAGGGGTCATCCTCAGCAAAGGTGAGGGACAGATGTCATTCCTCTGTGTGTAGACCTCTGAAGAAGAGGGCTTCTTAACCCTGAATAGCAAAAGATGGTTTCAGTGGTGAAAAACTCTCACATCCTGGCACCCAACAGTGCTGCAGCAGTGGAGCTGTACCATTAAGTATGAGTTGACTTATGTTGAACCAAAAGCTGACTCTTGGTGAGTGTCCTGGTTACTTGCTGTCATTGTGACATAGTACCGGACACCTACAACTGAAAGAAGAGGTTTACCTTAGTTCAGGGCTCAGTCATGGCTGGCAGGCTCCATGGCAGAAACACAAAACCACAGGGCCTGTGTGGAGGACCAGTGCTCATTCCTTGGCAGCCAGGAAGCAGAGGAGTGGGGGCCTGGGAGGGAGAGATCCTTCCAGGTCAAGGCCCCAGTGAGTCATCTCCACCCAGCCCCACTCCTAAGCATCTTTAGCTCTGAACTCAGGGATGGATGCATCAGTGTCCACGATCTAATTATCCTCCAAACTTGTGAGGCTGTTGGGGGCAGTCTAGATCAAAACCGTAACAATAGCTTTTAATTCTTCATAGAATTTAAGATCTAGTTAAGTCCCTAATGTTGATTGCTTGAACTTTAACTCAAATATTCCACTTTTTTGGAATCTCAACATACCTGTTTATTTATCTTTTCTTCTTGAATAATAGCAGCCAACGCTTTTAAAATTTTAAAAATCATTTATTTTGTGGATTCTTGCTGTTTTTGCTTCTCTTCCAGCAAAAATTATTGATGCTTCACCAAGATCTCAGAGCATTAGCTGGGTGGGGTGGCCTAATACCATCACTGGGGGGGCTGAGGCAAGAGGATGGCCACAAGTATGAGGCTAGCTTGGGCAACCTGAGTTCATGGCCAGCCTGAACTACACAGCAAGACCCTATCTCAAAATGAAAATAAATAAATAAAAATATTCTAGATCAGTGGTAGGGGACTATGGAAGACATGTTGTAGTGGACTGTTTATATCATTGAATATTCTATAAGGGTTACCATCAGTGTCTAGACCATTATTGGGGGAAAAAAAGTTGAATTTAAAACCTAGATCTGTATCTTCCTGTGAAATTATTGGAAACAAGTCTTATGAAAACATGATGTTATGTTTCTTTTTGACAGAAAGACATGCTGAATCATTGCTTGACATTTGTCATGATACAAACTCTTCTCCAACTGGTAGGATGACAGATACCAAAAATCAAAACATAATCTTTCAAAGCATCAGTAGCAGTGAGGTAAGATGGTTCCTTTATTTTTTAAAATTTATTTATTTTATTTTTTTTTGCATTTTAGGGAAGGGTCTATAGGATGTTCAGGGTCTCACTACTAGACTGACTTGTGATCTGCCTGTTTATAGCCTCCCAAGAGCTGGGATTATAGGTGTGCGCCACCACGCCCAGTCTCAATTGTCATCTCAGTGCGCCCCGAGGGCAGGGCCAGCACAGCAGGCCCGGGGATCGAACTTCTGGCCCCTGCATCTGCTTGCAGGTGCTTTAATCTGCTGAGCTATTTGGCTGGCCCTAAGAGCTTTCCTTTAAAGAAACAAACTAAATTAAACAAAACAGAAACAGATAACCTGTTCCATCTACCATTTCACTTGTGCTGCTTGAATATTTTGTGGTAATCATGTAGTACAGCTGCAATTTTAATGTAATCATTACAAAATGTAAAACACAGTTAGTAAGACACTTTTCTCAGAATTTACTGAGAGTAGTAATGAGCTAGTCAACTCTGAGTCCCACACAGTGTGTGTGTGTGTGTGTGTGTGTGTGTTAGTCTAGTCTACTATAACAAAGTGTTATAGCTTCTAAACAATAGAAATTTATTTCTCACAGTTCTGACCAGTGGAAGTCTAAGATGCGTGTCAGCCTGATGGCCGGGTTCTAGCGAGGGCCCTTTTCTGGGTTGCAGAATGCCAGCCCTTGAATTCTCTTGTGTTAGGGAGGGAGTTAGCTCTCTGGGGTCTGTTGCATATGGCACTAAATTCGTCATGAAGCCTCACCCTCATTACCTAATCCCACGTTCCATTTCTGGAGTTAGGATATCAAGGTCTATATCTTAAGAAGACACAACTGTAGTATTCGGTCCATCCATAACCCTGTGTGTGACACCGTAGAAGATGGTAGCCGCTGAATCCGTACTAAAGAACAAGTCCATCTAATTAAATCTTTTTCTTTTTTCAAGCAATATTTCATTATTTTTGTTGTACAAGACTTTCAATCCCCCACATTTTTGTAGCTTCCAAGGGTACCGTAAGAAATCTGGCTTCATTCTAGTTTCCGATCCGGTCCTCCTTCCCTCAAATTTTAGTCTCCCAGCTCGTGTACTTTACAATTTCACAATATTTTAGGGTGACTTTTGAAGTCATTATTCTAGGAATAGGTGGGCCCTTTCATTTTCAAAACTCATGACTTTTGGTTCTGCAAATTTTTCTTTTCTCTTTAATTTTCATTATTGCCTTTAAGGTTTTTTTCTTGCTAACAAGGTGCAGTGGCGAGCACCTATTGTCCCAGCACGTGGGAGGATCACTGAAGTCCAGGAGTTTGAGAACTTGATAACATAATGTCAGTACCTTCAGGTCTGTTCTCTGAGCTCACTGAATATCTTCAGAAAAGGATCTTCCAGACTTTTGACTCAGTAGTCTGTGTCAGTTGGCTGCTGGGCCTCTGGGAGCTGGGATGGGAAGGAGGATGAATACAGTAAATTTTTTGGTCAGTAAAATTACTCTGTATGAAACTGCAGTGGTGGACACATGTCATTAAGTATTCATCCAAATCCATGGACCGTACACCACCAGAAGCAAACCCTGATGGACCCTGGAGGATAATGGGTGTCTGTCATCAGCTATAATAAATGTGCCCCTCAGGTGAGGGTGGTGATAATGGGAGAAGCTATGCACAAAATCTCTGCCCCTTCTCAACTTGCTGTGAATGGCATTAAAAATAGTTTATTTAAAAAAACAGAAGTCTTATGTTGGGGGATTATATAAGGAAGAAAATATAATTATACTATAGTATAATGGTACTACACAGTACAATCCCCCTCACAAACATAAATAGGTTATTGATTTACCAACAGAAAGTAAATTTATTGCCAGGATGAGTGGAGGCATTAGGATGTTAATTGTAAACTGCTGTTAC